AATATTAATAATAATACATTATGTACTGGCAAGTATGCGCGTCTTCGTGTAAAAATATTGTTAAACAAAAAGAACCGGTCTTTGGGCTGCGGCGGCAACAGCAATTCCTCTGAATGCCACGGGGCCCAAACACTCCGGCGGTTCCGGTTATGTGTATAAATAAAAGTATAATGTACACATGACGTAAATAAGAGTGTTAACGTTTGTATGTATAACGGATTTTACTGTGCGGATTAAACGTTTCGGCTTTTTTTTTCTACGGAAACGGATATCGTTTTTTAATACGATTTCATTAACGTGCCGATTATCGCGTTGTGCCCCGTTCGAAAATGGGAGTGTTGTAGGTTTGAACAAGCGTTTTTTCGGCAACGTTTCCGTTAAAGTCCAAAGGAAATCATTTAACGAAGAAACCGGGAACGCCCGAAAAAAAGACGTTGGCGACGTTTTGATATCGCGTGTTTGTTGTAATTGCTGGCGAAGAATGAAAAAAAATTCTATTACATTAATAATTAGCGCAACTATTATTCCACTTATTCCCCGACGAATCATATTAGCAGACTGTTTTTATCTAGTGCCATTGTTCTTCTTCGGGGGAGTGTTAATTGCAGAAATAAATTACACTGTAGTTTTGTTTATACAAGTAGAATTTACAACGGCGTTTACGAGTTATTTGCTATCGAACAATTTTCTCTTTGAGAATGTAGTTTTTAATTTATCTCGAGTGATGTAGTTTATAATATAATAATAATAAAAAAAAAAAAAAAACGAATGACGTATAATGAAAAAAAACTAAATTAATTTTATTAAAATTTATTTAGTACACACTGATAAGTTTAAAATTGTGCGCTGTTTAGCATACAAAATGAATTAAAATTATAATAAAATACTAATGATATTATTATTAAAATCAATTCGAACGCGGAATAGTATTTTAATTTTGAAATAAATATTATTGATATTCATGATAAAATGATACACACGGGTTGGGATGGAACCACGACCTTTCCATGTGTTGACCCAATTCCGTCGCTATATTTTATATAATATTATCGTAAAACTGTTTATTTATCTAATTTAGATAAATATCGTGTTCAAATAATCGAAATGTGATGAGAAAATATTGAAGTTGAATTAAACCGATATTTAAGTAGCATAATTATTGAACATTTTCAAAACGTTTCTCGTAAAACCATTGGGACGGGCAAGTGATACGTAAAAAAAATCATAGATAACAGTTAATCAGAGTAATGCATGTGATTATTAATTTGAATAATATCCAACAACGGTTTTATCTCATCCGCCTTTATTGCTAGCGTTTAACAACACACACTAATAGAAATATACGCACACAAACTGATATTAATCAGGTGAGTATTTCCACTGTACAAAATTGTTTTGCCGTTACTGCGTCTAGTGTTAGAGGAATTTCGCAATATTTTCCATACGCGTTTAAAGGCTGAAAATATCAAACACTCGACGCAATAAGAACAAGTATTTAATAAAAATTCAATGTTTTTCGGAGAGCACAAAAAACTAACAGCGCGCACCATATCAAATTATAATAGTAGTTAAAAATTGAACCCAGATGGTACGCATTTGTTCAAATGGCAGAGACAAAAATATGAAAGAAAATACCAATGGATTTGTAGTGGAGAAATATTACGTTTTAAGGTAATTGTGGTGTCAAAGATAATTTATATTATATAAATAAACACCACTAAGCTATGTAAATTACTTGTACGTTTTTTGACGTTAGAAAATCAATTTACAATGATAATTTGAGATTTTCAAATTATTAACTGTATAAAATTAAGCCAATTATAGTAATTTTATACAACAAGTCGCCGACAAATAATTTCCGCATAATTCAAACAAAGCCAACTATCGAGAAAAATATTCCTCAGAAATATGAGAGAATTTTCTGAGCATCGAAAACACAATAAAATAATAATACGCCGAACCATATCTCACTCGGTTATTAAACGATAACGCGTCTCCCTATAATTTTCGTTCAACTACAATGGAAATTCGTATTTTCTATGTAATCGGCGAGTTCAATGGTAACTGCAAAATTCTTTGGAAATAAATTGTAATTTCCAATTTTATCATTGGGAAATAAACAGTAATACCATTACGTAACAGACAGACATTGTTGGTAAATTATTCGGAATAAAAATTTCAGATGACTATTTGAATATTTTTAATTCTGCCCCGTGGTTTGCTACCATTTTTTACCGGTAACATTGGACAATTATTTAAATTTTTTTCTCCTACAAATTCATATAAACTTCCTATGCGTTGTTGTTAATTTATTCTTTTAAACGCGCAAAAACGTAATATTACGGGGTACGACAAGAAATCGTAATAAATTATAATTGCATAAAACACGGAGGATAATGAACAGAAAAATAATAGTACAAAATTCCTAACGCTCGTCGAGGCCATAGAACACGTTCAATTCCACACAAAATATTTACACAGAAATTGTGTTTTAAATTTAGGCGATTCGCATTCGTTTTGCAAAGTCAACCACCTTGTACGCGCAATTTAAAATGTCAAAAAAACATTTTTTTTTTTTTATTACATCCATGTCGTATACGGTTTCCCCGTTCAGAGCACATTTCATTTAGTAATCAACTGCTGCAAGAATGAATAGATTTTGTTTGTACGTGCAACACACGACCGACAAAGGTTAACCACAAAGTCTACTGGCCATCGAATTTCTCTATCCGCCCCAACCGCTCGGCTAACCTTTAGGCGCACTGTCCTTTTGCAATCTACAGGGCTATGGGAAAAACGGGTACACCTGGTTGGTTACATACAACAGGTTTGTCGGGATTATTAAATCAATTAATTTGAACGCGTTGCCGTTCTTGAACAACTCTCGTTATATTTTATTTGTGTTCTACTTGAATAATTAAACCGATCCCCAAAAGGTTCGCACTTAGAATGCAGGGGCACGATTTCGATTTTCCAAATAACAATAAAATCAACAAAAACCGAATCTGTAGGGATTTTAATGGCAAACACTTATTTGCCAAGTGCTGCCCGAAACCATATGAAAAACGCTATGTTGTCAGAACACTTTCAATCGCGTCGACCAATTGGTAATATTAAATTTTAGAAAAGTTTACTCAGATATTATTCGCCCCGAATAATATTTTTTGTTTGCCCCAAACAAAAACCGTGAAAATCAAAACGATTTTCGTAAAATCATTCGTCCAAAGAGAAAACCGCCTAAAATAAAACCGACCGACCACGGCAGGAAAAAAACATTAACGACGACAACGGGCGAAAATACGGCACACTGTCCCGTGGAAGGTATGCGAACACCGGTCCGGTAGAAAAATATATAGGAACGCTTCTAAAATATGTTTGGCCTTCGTCTCCCGCAAACACGACGTCTGGTATAGTTTCTCACACATGTTGGGCGGCGCGTGTATGTTGCGGCGGCGAGTACTGCGTACGGTAATAATAATAATAATAATAATAATAATAATAATAAAAGACACCACGCCGCCGTGATGCGGCATATCGTCGTTTTCTGGAGGGGATCCGGTGGCGGTGTACAGCACGGGCGGTTTGAGACTCGAGAGATTACCTCACACACGCACGCACACCGCACAACAACATACACAACGCCGACGCCGCGAACCGCGACGACGAACGCCCGACGATCAGGCGGAGGAGGAGTCTGCCCCTGAAACGCGTTCTCTGAACCTATACATGCCGCCGCCGCCGAGTAATCCCAATCGTGTTTTCGTGGCTGGGGTCTCTTTCTCTGCATGCGAGTCCGTCCGTACGTGTAAAAATCGTTGCTACGTTGCCAATGCGTATTCTTCTCGGTGTCGCTGAAGGCAACCGATTAATGACGTCGTAGGGCTGTACAAGTTCAACGACGATGGGCCCTTTCGACCCAAAGTTTATTGACGCGCCAATTCCCAAACTCCGCGGGAATCATTCGAGATGAAGAAAACTATTTATTTTTTTTTATTCTTGCAAACCAAGTTTGGCATCACTGAAAGACGGAGGTGGCCAGGTGATACGCAACGGGTCGGCTGCGAGTGTATTTCAATGCAACTATTATTATTATGCACCAAGTGGAAAACGTATCCTCGACAGTGCGACAGTGTAGGATTTATGTGAATACGTATAAATTGTACATAGATTTCTTGACGTGATAACACGACTGAGCAACAAAAACCGGAGAGGAACGTGCACGAGACGAACAAAAATTATAATAACGCAGAGGATGGTCGTAATGGACTACCATCGAGACGGCCTGCTAAAACCACATTTTTGGACCCATGCGGTTAGTGGAACGCAAGAGGGTTTGTCCGTTTGAAAATTGGTTTTTATATCTACGCCTTGCCCGATTGTGGGAGGCGTAGAATACAAAAAAAAAAAACGTACAGAAATTATTTTTAACTAAGAAAAAAAGGCTGCCGGACTTAAATCAATCCTTCGCGCAAGCATTTTCTGGCAGTCTTAAAAATCATATTATTTTATTTTAACCCCCCGGGGCATGGCGTTAGGGTTTGCAAAGAGAAAAAGTTAGACAATAGACCGTATCGCGTTGTGTGGGGTTGTGGAAGACATCAAAAGGAGAAATGCCGCCCGAGTGTAATTTTCGCGTTGAATATGGCGCCATACCGACAAAAATGGTTATTATTTATTACTATTATTATTATTATTATTATTATCATTATTAATAGGTACCAGACTTCTGTGCAACAGCATTCGACTTGGAAAAAAATATTTATGTTACCGAAATAATAACAATTTGAAAATTGTGTTCAACATGGAAAATATTTATTGTTTAAAATTTTAATCGTTGTTGCAAACACATACAACAAAAACTTAAATAGAACGAATCGACACGTGTACGATTGTAGACCGGTCATTTTTAGTCTTCCTATTATATAGCGCGCCCAATAACAATAAAAAATTTAATTATAGTAAAAAGCACTCGGTGCAAAAGTGCCGGAATTTGAACAACTCTCGAGCGCACGTGTGACCGATAACAATAGGCCCATAAACACTAAATCTAAAAAACAATTGCTTTATCACAAATTAAACTTAAGTATTAAAAAACTTTCAACAGATTTCCAGAGACGTTTATACGAACACAAAACCAAGTTATGTGGACGTTATTAATACCAACCGCGCGAGGTATCAGTGATAACATCAATACAAATGTCGGTCATTACTCATAAGCAGCAGCAATCGATTGGACGACGTTGGATATATTTTAGTATTATATTATAATAATAAATAAAACTTCCTACGCGTTCACTTAAAATAATATTCTGGTTGCAGGCCTTCATATAAGTATGCAGTGATGTAAGCTATTCGTTCAGCTGCCACTACCACCACTACGACGGTGCACACCGGTGGCAGTGCGGTTCTTGTAATATAAAACATCCCTTCAGAACAACAGTACACACTCAGTTTCTTTGTCCTATCATAACGACGACGCCATGGTCGCCATCTTGTTCAAAACAATAAAATCCAATTCAGTTTTACCACGAATAGGTCAGCGAAATAAAATCAAGTCAAACACTAAACGAATTAAAAACAATATAAAAAATGTCTACCGAAATATCTTTACAAAGGTAGAGAAAGTTTAAACTATTAAAAGAATAACAAGATTAAATTATTTATGTTAACAAATACAAAGTTTAATAAGCGTCTGTAAGGTTTCAATAACAAAAACGAACATGGAATAACTTGCACGTAATTTTTTATACCCTTCCCCTTAAATTATTCATCTACATTGCGATTCGATCGAAGCCAAACTAAATGTCACGCGTTATAGTAATTTACAGTATTAGCACCGATATAGTAGACTAATAATAAAAATAGACCTCTAATAACCGGCCAATAATGTCATCGACTAACGTCCCACTTAAGTAGTAATTTTTATAAAACCAATAATGCGAACAACGATATAAATGACCGATTATGAATGAAAATCTATAATAGACCTTAGTCATAATCACAGTTAATTAAGATATCGTAATCTAAATTTTATTTAAAGAAAACTATTAACGGGTACTATTCATTATGATTTTTCTAAATAACTCACGTTTCATCGTTGCGTGCATGTTTTTTTAACAAATACACGGTATACGATAGTTGGATGCGGGCGATTATTTGTTTTCTGCAGTAAAGATAATAAGAACGAGCATTATTACTATAAAAGAGTCGACCCTTCGCATGTACATACGCGAGGCGATGAAACAAAATATTTATTCAGGTTTGACGAGGGCTGAAACAACGTTAGTACAAGAGGATAGAGTTTGATGAGTGCAAGGTTCCTATGTGAAAATGACGAAATTCTAACTTAATTATTACTCGTGTTCATTTAAAAATATGTATTTTAATTCATCAGGATTGTCGAGCTAATCATATGAAAANTAAATTTAATTCATCAGGATTGTCGAGCTAATCATATGAAAATTGGCCAAGGAAAACATACACACCGACGACTTATAAGCGTCCAACGCAGAATGACCTCAATATTTCTATTAATTTGACTAACTTTGTCAATGATCGCCATGAATTTTTCATTAAAATGATATCCATTTTTTGTACAATAAGAAATACACCATACTATTATTTTATGTTTGCAGGCCAGGTGCGAGTGCCGATTGTCAAACTGGGCCTATCAAAAGTCCCCCAGGCGCGAGAACAACATTAATACTCATCCGAATAATAAAATAAATAAATGAAAATTATTATCATACGCGAAAACGATATTTCGTTTCTCTTTCCCTCGAGCCCAAACAGTCTTTCCAAAAAAATTTAAAGAAAGAACAACTCTCGTTGCAGTGGGTCGAACTCGGTACCTCGATGACGTCCAGAACGGTCGCCTACAGAAAAACTTAGAAGAGAAACAAAAATCGTCAGTTGAGAAAATAAATATATTTTTAAATACATTTGCATTAGTTATTCAAATTTATTTTAATTCTTTTGGGGCCTCCGATAACGATAATAATAATAATTATTATTATTATTATTAGTATTATTAATTCAGTCACCTCCTTCTCCCGTGCAAACGTCGTTTTCCTCGAAGCCCGTCATGCCATTGAATAATGCATAGAGCTACCCGTAACACCTGGCCGACAGAAATGATGTTATGTTTCTTTTCTTCTTCTAAATGTATTTTAAGTTTACTCAATTTTCCCGACGACTAACGCCAATAGTTTTTTTCGTCCTCTTTAGCTATGCATTTACGTTTAAAAGAAAATCTATACTCCACCCAATGGCTGTAACGGCAACGGCATTAATAAGAATTTGAAATGAGGTCTTCTCGTCGGGGTTGAATTTACCCGGACGTGCCCCGCATGCATTTTACATAATTCCGTCGGCTATTAAATCGATACGACCCTGTGCGTGAGCATATATCCCCTCGTTCCAATAATATTACGATGATCACTGGCCTAACTTGTACACTCGCACCCCCCTCCTTTGCTGTCTTAACTAGCTCTCCACGCCAATCTCATCCCACCCCTGACAACGTCGCGGTGCCTAACGTTCCGCTACTCGTTCTAACGCCGCCTATCGTTCTAACATGGTGAAGGCAGAAATATGTTTGGCGTGCCAAAGGACACACGCCACGGCGAATGAGCAGCATCTCTAAATTAATCCGTCGCATGTGTACTTACCGACTTGCAGCACTCGATCGACGCAACCGCTCTCTAGGAGTTTGAGGCCCTTGTAAAACGACAGGTTGTTCTGTTCCGAGTTTTGCGACGACGAACCGGCCTGGGACACGCGTATCAGCGACGAATACATGAATATGTCGCGTTCATTTCGCGGAAACGACCAGTAGATGATTTGTCGCTGTACCGGTTCCGGTATGCGGCTATACCGTTCCTCTATCCGCTGAAACGGTATGTTCTCGGCCACAATCCGAGCGGTAATATCCAACAGAGAGTCGGGTGACTGTCGCGTTCCAGAGCCGCCCGCCTCCCCAGAACCGGACGACGTCGACGGCCCGTCGTCCCTGCAGCACGGACGTTTGTTGGCGACGCCCGCAACGCGGCTGCAGCACGGCCGTTTGCACGACGTCATTGTTGCGGCGGCGGCGCTGCTACGACGGCGTTAACGCGACGATAGACCTGCTGACGGTAGTAATCCCGTTGAGAACACGCATCACACGCACAGCAGTATCACCGGGACAGACCAAACCGATAGTTGTCGTCACGAGTAAAAAAAAATTATGAACGCGTCGCGCACCACGCTTCTCAAAAAAACTGAGAATCAAAACACACACATACACAGCACACGCGATAACACCAGTTACCGTAGCGCACCACGTACAACCGCACCCGTTTCTCGTTGTACACTGAACGCGGTCGGCTCTCCATTTAGTCGTTCCCCACCACTATCGCGCGCGTGTGCGTGTTTACTAGGGCACACTATCGATACTGACCGTCGTCTCGGCTATCGATAGTGAACGTTTTTGTCGGCCAAATACTGTACGCGAATGGCCAATGGATTCCGCCGCGGTCAACAAAATTATTTATTAAATCAAATACCCACACGAAACCGTATATTATCATGCAGCTATGATATTCTAATAATCCATTAAATTTTAACTAGTAATCAATTTCTATTGTTTTCTTTTGCATTTTTAACCATTTACACATGTGGCAAGCGAGTCGCTACCAACAATAGAGTTTTTTTTATCAGACGCACAAAACATGTTTTTTAAGATACTGCATAGTTGTTTTTACTTGGTAATGACAGAAGAGAGCAATGTACAGCCAATTATTAATACAGCGAAGGACGAAATGTTCGTGCCATATCGCCAAAATTCGTAAACGTTACCGGGTAGCCAACGGCGGTAATTAAATTGAAACATTTTTTTTTTTTTTTTTGTTCTGAGGGTAAACGATCCGTGAACGGATACCAAGCCGGTGCAAACGACGTACCCGACCCAAATGTACGCTATTAAAGTAACTCATTAGAACTGTAGGACACAATGTATTTATTAACAGACGGGCTGTATTTGTATGTACCTGTACCTCTTCACTAAATTTATATCGTTACAAACTTGAATACAATTAAAATATGATTACACATGTATTATTAGGTCTAAAAATAGTTATGATTTAAATTTGTAAGCAGTGCTATTAATAATAATAATAATATATATATTTAATTAGCGGTTCACATTATATATTTACGAAAAATATACAATGATAACATTTTTCATCGGTAAATAATTTAATTTTGATATCTTTTACAAAAAAATTATATCGAATTACATTGAAATCACAATTTGAATTTTAAATTTCATACGAACAACAAGTAGGTAGAAATATTTAAATAGGTCTAATTATTCTTTTAATATAGATACGATTGCGAATACTATAATTGACATGTTCGTCATGAGTAAATGTTATTTTTTTGAAAATTAACAACAAATTTGCAGATCGCATTTTTAAAGTTCTGCATACGTCATAAATCAAGGTGCCTAGATTATACTTCTTACATATCATACCCATTCGTAATCGAGTAGTTATATCTGTTATAAATCAATGGATTGATATAATTTAAAGGTCATATTCAATATGTTGCACATAATAATATAGCATGTAAATAAGTAAATACTACTAATGTTTTAACTCTGAATTCCTGTTTGAATAATAAAAACAATGCGATATTTCCTCAACGTTAACCGTAAAAGGCTTACAGCTCACGCCTCTCATTCGATCTCAAGTTGGAAAATCATGTCATTATTAAACAAAAATATGAAATGCAACAAATTAAATTTTATACATCACAAATCTCAAAAGTCATAGTTCAATTTTAGTTGATTGATTTTTAACTATTATATTATTATGGTCTAATAGCTATTAGTCATTTATTGAAGATTCAATAAGAGAAAACTTTGTGCGTAGAAGTAACTGAATAACAAAATTCTGAAATCTATCATGCTCTTAGAAATAAATATTAATGGATAAAAAAGGTTTCAATCTAAAACATTAAAAGATAAACGAATAGTTTTTTTACACAAAGAAAAAAAGTATAACGTGATTTATTATCACAACTCCACATTGTTAAACTGATCAAGAGAATGCAAAGATGAATTTCGAAATAAATAACCAAAACTTTTTATCATTTAATTAGTTCAACCCTTTTTTTTTTTGTTGCTCTTATTTAAACAACCCTATCAATAGATCAACTCTATGCAGTTATTACATTTATTGTATGGATTTTATTTTTACTAATAGACAAACGTGTTAATTATGGGAAGATATAAGAGAATTTAATCACTCCGTGTTTTATTTTTCATTTGATGCGTTTTTTTGAAGAATGTCCGTAGCTCTCTATGAATTTTGAAATACACTACGCCCCTGTTACACTATTATTTCCATAACTTCTTATGAACATAAAATTTGTAACCGTTGTTTTTTCATTTCCTATGAAACTAAACCTCGGAGACTATTTTAGTAATTAGATATGATTTACGGTTGTTTTTGGTAATGTAATTTATATTCTCTTGTAATTATAACAGTGTTTTTTTTTTTTATTTATTTACTGAAACTTAAAAGTCATAAATCTACTCGTTTATTTAGTAGGTCGGTCAACATGCCACTTGCTTTTTTCAGTCACTACTTGGACGACTTTAAGTATGATACAAAAAGTTACTTATTCATTATAGAATTTGACGTAATTCATTCATTATCCTAGGCGAATTAAATGATAACATGCTATGGTTTATGCGTTAGGGTAAACCTAGTTGCAGTCGTATTATGTAGCAAAGGCACACTTGTCTTATAAAAGATGCATGTCCTTTATCGGTTGAACTACCACCATAAGTTGTTATTTTTTATTGTACTACTTCGAAATTTGTATGCCACGTCATTATTAATAGTTGATATGGTTCCAATTCAAATGATAGAGGCCAAAGCATTTATCTACAAACAATCGAGCGGTCAATGTTGCTAGCATTTTAACCGTATTAATCAACTACTTACATATAGTAAATAACTCATTTATCGAAAATCTTAAATTATCCTTTCATAGTTACAAGTACATTTTTTTAAAAAATTGTTGATCGTGGCCATACTATAACTTGTAAGAAAGTATTTATAAACGTGTTTCATGAGCTGGAAGACGCTAATTGACAAAAACGAGGTAAGTATCGATCGGAGTACCCCTACGCCACAGGGGAACAGCACTTAAAAAGAAACGAATGTTCTCACGGGGTTCAGCACACGTACAATAGGGTCTTTACTCTCTCTCTGTATGTGTACACTGCAAGGACTCAATTTTTTTCTGAGACTTCTAACTCAGACCGACACTTGTGGTTGTCGTCCACAAACAATATAATGAAAATTAACCATTGATCCGTATGACTTGTGAACCTAAATCTAAATCGACTCCGTCTCTGTCGTGCTGTGACTTACACTATTGGATATATTTAATAAAACAATTGTGCCTATTATAAAAGTGTACGACTTTAAATAACCTATGACACTGTTGAATAAGATTATCCGGAAATAATATTACAAATACTTGTTAAAACACAGAAAACATTTATTTTTTCTTATATACTGCAAAAAGAAAAAAAATATGTATTCTTATGGTCAAGCTACTCTAATAATGGTGCCTGTGAACGTGTAAATGTAAACTTGAAAAAAAAAAAGGGTATAAACTAACTATTAAGAAGTTTGTTAACTATTACTAGACAAGAAGTATCAAGAGATGTTGAAGGCATGACGTAGGTTTTAGACTACTGTTTTTTTTAAAGTAATCTTGTTAAATTGTAAAATGTCAAAGCTGCAATCAATATTTTCCTATCAGCCTGATCAATGAAATTCAACATTTTTTCATTAAATACCTATTGATTTTGTGCGTATATTTGGGTTTGGTAATGATTGTATTTTCTTCTTGTTCAAAAATTTATCTGATTGAATAAAAACTTTCTGACGTAGTAAATTTTCAAATAAATTAGTACATGGAAACTTTCAGGGGATCAATAAAGGAATTTTACGTCCTTATAACAGCGAAAACGAAACGAGCGTCTCATAATACTTCTAGATGTGTATAAACAGCACCTTACACATAGATACTTTGAAAAAAAATCCCTAGTAATATGTAATGGTTGCTGCAGGAGTTACTTTCATTATCTTTTACGGTTATTTCGAAAATCAAACGACTCGCTACAACAAACCGACAGGAGTTTTTAGAAAAGTTAAAAACTGCCGTATAATAAAATCCATGGGTTCAAAATGACTTTTTTTAATGTCGAGCGACTTTCAGGCATCTACCTACAATAGTCATATGAATAACAGCATCATTATCACCCTGATAGCCTGAACGAAGGCAAATCGAGCAATTTTTTTTAGCAATAATTATTTTTTTTACTCTAATTTATCATCCAAATGATATAAATCGTAACTCGATTTAATGGTACAGAGGTTAAATTTTACTATCCTCCTTGACACAAGCAATAGCTTTTAGAAATAATATTAAACATAAATATGAGACTATTTATAAATTATTTTGCAATTTTCATTAAATACGATAAAGTTTGCAAATGAAAAATATCATTACACAAAAAATCTTCCGAAAATATCAAAAAATGCATTATCAAAATACGTCTGGTAATTTTTTTTTTAATGAGTCATAGTTTTTTGTTAATTTAACCATTGTTTTTGTTACTATAATCAATAATTGATCTAATTAAAAAATATTTTGCTAAATCACACAAAAAAAAACATTTTATCAATAATAGATATATATTATTTATTTAAGAAAAATATTATTGGTTATTATATTAGTATTGGTATATTGATAAAAATATTTGTATTAAATTTTGCCAAAAGGATTATTCAGTTTATAATGTAAAATATTACAACGAATCTAACTGTCAATTAGTTTGAGATAGGACCAGAAAAAATATATTTATATTTTTATATGTTCAAACAAGAAACAATGTTTTTAATTTCAAACAATTGTTTTATGACTTTATTTTGAATTAATATATTTTAAGCTAACTATTTGTGTGTAATGTCGGGTTAGTCAAAATTAACATTTAAAAATTGACCTTTATATAATAGTAAATTACAAAATTATCGTTTTCAAATACTTTCGATGTTGATAATATTGTATAATAATATGAGATATCTTTATGGAAATTCAATCATTCAGAATAAATACAAATTGTAATTAACTTGTGTAATATACAGAGTATTTAACTAATAATATACCTTAGCTAGTTGAAAATGGGTTGATAAGTCATTACAAAAAAGATTCTTAATTAGGGATCGACGAAATTTGCTAAGTATTTATTAAATTAATTAATTCTAAAAACTTTAGCTTATGTAATAAAAATGTTAGCTT